GCCTGAGTTCAATCCTCAGTTCTGCCAAGAAAATAAATAAATAAATCTAGGCATGGTGCCACATGTCTGTAATCCCAGCACTTGGGATGCTGAGGCCAGAGGATAGTTGCAAGTTTGAGACCAACCTAGGCTACAGAGTGAGCTCAAGGCCAACCTGACTGCAAAGGGAGACCCTCTTTCAAAAAAAAGACGAAAAAAAAACCCAGCACCATAAATTGCTTTTACAGGGCCTGGGATGTAGCTCCATGATGAGTGATTTATTTTTATTAGTACATGTTTCCAGTATGTAATGATTACATTTATTGTGGATGTAACAGTGCTTGCCTAGCATGTGCGTATGCAAGGCTCTGAGTTTGATCCATAGCACCACAAAGAGAAAAACAAATGCTTTTACGTATTTTTTTCCTTATTTGAAGAGGTAGGTAAAATATGGGTTGGCGATTTCAAAGCAGGCAAGAATTTGAATTTAAGAAAGCAACTATGTAATTGCTGTCTTAAACATTAATTTAGGCATACAAATACAAAACATGCTCTCCTAAATCCTTTTTAGCTGCCTGGGAAATGGTGGCAAAGCAGGAGTAACACAGATTTGATAGCATTTCTGTCAAAGGGTTAAGAACCACAGTTCTACCATGCGCTGCCTTTCAGTCTGAAGGACTAAGTAAAGGAAAGTACAGAGGGTGCTGTGGTCTTTTCCATCTTGAATTTGCTGTTGACCTTGAGAGCATGGAGCAAATCAGTAACAGACTTTCTAGAATACTCATGCTCCTCATTTCTTTGAACTCCTGTTGTAAGGACAGAAAGGGTCAGGGAGATGGCTCCGTGGAATAAGCACTTCCCTGGCAAGCGCAAGGGCCTGAGTTCCATCCCCGGTTCCGCCAAAAAAAACCCAAACCCTATATTTGGGGCCGGGGAGATGGCTCAGTGGAATAAGCGCTTCCCTGGCAAGCGCAAGGGCTTGAGTTCAATCCCCGGTTCAGCAAAAAAAAAAAGCACAGAAAAAATAAACTGAAAAACATATAGGGCCGGCCTAATAGCTCAGCAGATTAAAGCACCTGCAACTAGGAGCAGGGGCCAGGGGTTCGATCCCAGGCCGGCCATGCTGGCCCCACCCCGGGGCACGCTGAGATGGCAATTGAGACTGGACGTGGTGGCACACGCCTGTAATCCCAGCTCTTGGGAGGCTGTAAACTGGTAGATCACTATTAGTCCAATCTATGTAGTGAGACCCTGTAGACTGTATAGACGCTGTACTAAAAATACAAAAAAAAAAAAGAGGAAAAACATCATAGGGTCAGAAACATCAATATGGAAACAAAAAGAAATATCAATATGGCCTTGTGGTTAATTACAGGTTCAGATAGTGATGTACAGAAGTGGTGATGTATACCTATAAACCAACACTCAGAAGGCTGAGGCAGGAGGATTGTTAAAAGTTCAAGGCCAGCCTGGGCTACATAATGAGTTGTAAGGTAGCCTGAACTACATGGCAAGATCCTGTCTCAACAACAAAGCATACAGAAATGTGTATAGGTATGTGCATATGCATATATCTATGATAGTATACACACATTTTTTTTGTTGTTCTGTTAGCTGAGAGGGCCTAAAAGAAATGACATCCTAGTAGTAGTGAATACATTAAGTGCCCAGATCTTGATTTCTCATACCATTCCTAACTAAAAGGAACTAAGGCCCCTGGAGCAAGGCGTGGTGGTGCACACCTAAAATACCAGCACTCACAAGACTAAGACAGATGTATAACTGTAAGTTTGAGGCCAGCCTGGGCTGCTTAGAAAGTATAAGGCCAGCTTTGTCTCAAAAAACCAGGGCTAAAAAAAAAAAAAACCCAGGGCTTCTGGAGAAATGGTTCTGGAACAGGAACTATATAAGGGCATCCTGGAGCATCTTTTTTTTTTTTTTTTTTTTTCCCAGAACCGGAGGTTGAACTCAGGCCCTTGAGCTTTCCAGGGAAACACTTATCCCACTGAGCCATCTCCCCAGCCCCTATCCTGGAGCATCTTGTAGTGGTAGAAAATAGGGAATTACCTTTTTAACAACTCTAAAAATAAAATATACACACATATATAGTAGTATATGCTAAAGGAACATAACAACCAAAGCAGAAATAATTTGATGAAGCATTGAATTATAACCCAAGCAACAAATTAAGTGTCCACAAATCTATACTGATAAGACTGAATAAATAAGTAGGAGAAATGAGACATCTGTCCAGAAGAATTCTAAAAGTTTTATGTATTATTTCCTCAAGGAGGTGATACACAACTCTCCACTCATTAATCGTGGATTACACATAGTAATTTTCCTCCAAGGAGTAGAATATGGAAGTAGAAGAGTGACTTTACAAAGGAGAAACCTAAATACTACCTTAACCAAGAGATCAAGGTCAATGTCAACACTTACAATTCATGTTGGTAGTATGCACTTAGGATGTGATGGAGTCTTGTTAGCTCTGGAGTCCACCTCCAAGGAACTCATAATTCCAATCTAATCATGAAAAAAATAGATAAATTGCATTAGTGGAACATTGTACAAAGTACCTGACCTGTAATCCTCAAAACTTTCAAAGTCACTAATCGTCTAAAGACACATGACAACTAAATGTAATGTGAGATCCTGGGACAGAATAAGGATGTTAGATAAAAACTTAGGTTATCTGGATGAAATGTGGGCTTCACTGGTAATAATATCTCATCAGTAGTAATATGTTAATTACAATAAAGGTACCATCCTGGTGTAAAATATTAATAGTAAGGAAACAATACAGGACATTTGGGAATTTTCTACTATCTTGGTAATTCCATAAATGTAAAACTGTTGCAAGAAAATAAGTATCTTTTTTTTTTGAAAATAAATATCTTGGGGCTGGAGAGATGGCTCAGTGGTCTAAAGCACCTACTTGAAACAAGCTTGGCAATGCACATGGACCGCGGTT